ACCAGCCACTCCTCGGAAGGAAGATGGGGCAATCTACTTCCGTAGTGATACTGCCTTGGAAACCCAAGGAGGGGTCGCTATGAGTCAGGTCTGACTCAACTGCACATAACAACAACAAGAACAACAGTGTGTCAAAACTTACACTTTTGTTGGAGTTGTATTATTTGAAAACAAAGAATCGTGAGTAAGCAAGCAAAGAATGGAAAAGGAAGTAATGAACTGGTTATTTCAAAATGTTGTGCAGCCTTGTTCCTAATGTAAGGGCTATTTCTGTAGAGCACATTCTCAGGGATCTGGACAATTACAGTATTTTCTGATTGGAATGATTAAATTTGCCTAAATTTAGGCTTTTCAGCCTTTATTGTACCATTTTAAAAAATGGGACTTAGACTTACTGAACTATTCATTTTAGTATATTTTAAAATAATCAACTTCAGATCCTATTAAAATATGCTGAAGATAGACTGAAATGCGTATGAATGGTTTTGATTTCTTTCTTTCTTTTTTTAATTTTTAGAGTGCTGCTGCTACTGCTGCTACCTTGGCACTCCCTGCAGGTGTAACTCCTGTTCAACAGATATTAACAAATTCAGGTAATTAGGAATAACGGAATAATTTTTTACATAACTCAGAAAATTCTTTTATTTGGACTTTGTGGTTTGTCTTTGTTAAAAGATATAAAATCTTAAATATTTCTTTTACCATTTGATGGTGCCGTTTATTATTAAAATAATAGTTGAGGGCTAGAACACCTTAAACAAGAGTCATTGTTGAGGATGCAGTAGAGAAGGTGAGAATTGTTCTTGGGCTTTTGATCCCTGAATGAAAATTTTGTTAGTGAATGAAGTATGATTTATGATCATATAGAAATGCTTATTTAGGTTTTTGCTGAACACATTTATTATACAAAATGAGTTAAACCTGATTTGCTTGAACTAATCTGTGATGTCAAACTAAATTCTACAGACTCTTTAGAACATACTTATTTTATTCTGTTACACGTAGTAGCTTAGCATAAATAGAACAAAGACTAATGTTTAATTTGTGATTTTTTTTGGCATATTACTGTATGAAGAATTAATTTACGTGGATTTTTCAGCAATCTCTGTAACCTTGATTTTATTGTTTCTTATGTGTCAAGAAAAGTTTACCCAACTAAGCCCTATTTTTGTTAATTTCTGAATAGTGTGGAGTACAAATTAGGGACTTGTGTTTCATAATTTAATAATATATAATTGTTTACTTTTTAATTCATTATTGTGGGTTTTCTAAAGTAACACATTAGAGATATTTGGGTACATATATATCAACTAGCCATACAGTTAGTGTTATGTGGTAATGGGTTCAACAAATATTTATTAGTTTTAAGCAAGTATGAAGGTAATGAGATGTTAAATGAACTTGTACACTTTGATTTCTTTAAAGCTTTAAAAATGAAGAGTTCCTACAATGTCTGGTCTTACTGCTTTCTCATGACTCCTAATGTACTAGCAAAGATAATTGAAACTTTTAATCAAATTTTATAATCTGCTGTTAAAGCTTAGAAAACAGCTAGTACATATAATAAAAATGGAAAAGAAAACATTTTAAACAAAACAGTGTATTTGACAATGGAAGCTGGTCAGGGAACTTAAAGATTATAGTGAAGTGAATATGAATGCTAGCCCTTAATAAAGTTGTTCAGCCTTCCTATATTATTTCTAGGGTCCTAGATGTTCAGATGTTCAGTGTGAATTCAGTTACAATAAGCAGCAAGTCCCTGGGTTGCAGACATCTGACTTACAGACAACTCATACTTGCCCTTTAATGTTACATAAATTTATCCTCACTCTGAAATGGTTGAACCAACCCCTACTTGCAACAAAATTTTCATCACAATTGCCTCCACTTGGTGCACGTGCAGTTTTTAAATCATTCTGACTTGGATCCTTTTCTTGTACCAAAGTAAGGCTAAATAAGAACCGTATGCATCTGTTCTAACTTACCTACAGATTGGACTTATAGACACATAGGAACTGATCTAATTCATAACTGGGAATTTGTTTGTATTTTGAATTATTTTGAAATTGTCATTATTAAATTGGTAACTTTGAATACATGCTTTCTTTTTTAGGCCAGCTTCTTCAGGTGGTCAGAGCAGCCAATGGTGCCCAGTATATTTTTCAACCTCAGCAGTCAGTGGTTCTACAACAGCAGGTTATACCACAAATGCAGCCTGGTGGAGTGCAGGCTCCTGTTATACAACAGGTAACAAATCTACAATCACTGTGAGGTTCTTTTCTTCTTTCTGTATGAACTCCCTGAATAGTTCTCTCTTTCCCCATCTAGACAAATTTGGAAGCTCTTTTCCAGTGTTACAGATTCCGCTGCCCTGAATTCCTTATGTATGCCTCACAGCTTAACTCAGAATCACCATGTTTAAAATTAAATTATTGTCCTTACTCATCCTTTGTCTCCTCGAACCTGTTTTGCTGCACTACTCTCCAACCAGCCTCCTAAGCTACTTACTCAGCATTTTCTCAACAAGCATTTACTGACTGGCTATGAATTTGCAAGGGCCTGGGGATTTAGGAGTGAACAAAACAGACTACACTACATCCCTAGTTTCATGGTGCATATGTATTTTCTGGAAGAGAGTGATGTGTAATCCTTTCTTCTCCTTTTCCTTTACCACCAGTATCCAAGGTATCAGGAAGTCCAACCAATTTTTCATTGTTGCTTATTTTAGTTGACATGTTTGCAGTCTTGTAATATGTTTGAAACTAACTTTTTTCCCTTTGGTCAGTCACTCTTTTTAGTTTGTGTCCTCATAACTTCTTATTAAAATGCTGTGTTACTTTCCTAACCTTTTTTCAAGGCTCTAGTCAGATGCCCCTTCTAAGTTTCTGTAGATTGCCACTCTAAAGAGTCATTTTCCTAAAAATATCAAAATATTAAAAATATTAACATCCTGTTGTCTATTGGAAAATGTCTAAACTCCTTAACATAGTTTATAATACCTTTTTTAGAATCATTTCTTTGAGCTTCCCAGGTTTAATTTTTCCATGTTTCTGAGATTATTATCTGCTTTGGTTTTCATTTAGATCAACGTTAACAAATACTTGTACCTACATGTGTGCCAGGTATTCTTCTGTTGTACTGTGAGGTCAAAGATGAAAGAGGAATGATTATTTTCTTGAGCATCTTTGTTCAAGGACTATGTAATGTTAATATGCTAATACAATGATACAGGTTAGGTCAGAGGAAGAGCATTAATCCAAAGTATTTACAGCTTTCCAAAATTACGTATTGCTCTCACTTCTGTGTTTCACCTGATGCCGTTCTTTTTAGAATGCTACCTTTAGTCTTTCCTTCTCCTAGTAGCTTCCTTCACTCCAAACATGCAAACCAAAAAAAAAAGCCTGGATCTTCTTAAAGACCCCCCCCCAAAAAAAAAAAAAAAAAAAAAAACCCAAGTATTACCTACTAGGAAGGCAACTCTGACCATGTCTTGTTCCACAACCTGAATTTGGTACTCTCTCCTTTCTTCTCACAGCATTGTATTACATCTTCTGTCTTTTCAAGTTGTAATTCTTTTGTTACCATTGATCTGTAAACTTCTTAAGGAAAATACTGTCTTGTTAGTTTGGTATTCTTTGATCCTCAAGACAAGTAATAGGTATTCAGTGCATTTTCTCTATTAATGGGTATAATAACTTGTTAATATATTAGTGTATAATGGCGTGGATGGAATTCTTTCTGAGTTGTGGTTTAGAATGCAGAAGGTGAAAGGAACTTTAGAAATCATTTGATCTGTGATTGCATGTAAAAATCTTTTGGAGAACTTTAAATGAAATAGATAGTTTTCATCTCACATCAGTTAAATCAGATATTGGGGATAGGGCCTAGACAGCATATTTTATTAAGTGACCAAGTGGTTTTAATTTGTAGCAGGGTTGGGAGTCATTGATATAGTCTTAACAGTGAAGTGACTGAAGCCAGGAGAGGTTAAATGATTTGGCTCTGTTATCATCTGTATCGGTGGTCTTAGACAAAACTAGAACCTAGGTCTTTACATTTCTCATTCACTGTTCTTCACATGGATGTAGCATGGGCTCTGGAGCCAGAAAGCTTAGATTCAAGTTGTGCCTATTTGTGACTGTGGAGTTTTGGCAAGTTACTAAACCTCTCTTTGACTCAAGCAAATAAACTAATAGGATGTGTAACTTTTGTCCCAGTATCTGTTACATACATAACAAACCCAAAACCAAACTAAACCTGTTGCCGTGGAGTTAATTCCATTTCCTAGTGACCCTATAGGACGGAATAGAACTGTCCCACACTGTTTCCAAGGCTGTAAATCTTTATAGAAACAGACTGCCACCTCTTTCTTTTGCAGAGGAGCTGGTGGGTTCAAACTGCTAACCTTTTGGTTTGTAGCTGAGCACTTAATCATTGCACCACCAGGGCTTCTATACATAGGAAACCTCAAAAAACCAAATCCACTGCCATTGAGTTGATTCTGAATAAATCTTATTAGCAATTATCTGTAGAAAATCTTGTTTGTTCAGAAATTTGAATGGGAAAATGGAAGTTTAGTGGGTTGGTACCAAAAACCCGTGGCATAGGATTTTCTTTGCTGTAATCTGTGCAGAAGCATATTTCTAGCCCTTTCAGCCACAGCACTACTACATGGGGTTCAGACTGCCAGTTGTTAGGTCAGTAGTCAGGTACAAACTGCTTGTACCATTTAGGGGCCTTAGTGGGTCGGTGTACTAGTTAAACACTGCTTTTGTACTTAAGTAGTTTTAAATATGTATGAGAAATGGCTGTTTCTGGTGATTATTCAGCATTTGGACTTATTTTTCTTACCAAGTAGTGAAACTGAGTTATTCTATCCTCTGGTTTCTAATATTTGGTTTTCTTTTCCCTTAGGTACTGGCCCCTCTTCCTGGAGGAATTTCACCACAGACCGGTGTCATCATCCAGCCTCAGCAAATCTTATTCACAGGAAACAAGACTCAAGTTATACCTACAACAGTGGCAGCACCTACACCAGCACAAGCGCAGATAACAGCAACTGGCCAGCAGCAACCCCAGGCTCAGCCTGCTCAACCACAGGCTCCATTGGTGTTACAAGTTGATGGAACAGGGGATACATCATCTGAAGAAGATGAAGATGAAGAAGAAGATTATGATGATGATGAAGAGGAAGACAAAGAGAAAGATGGAGCTGAAGATGGGCAGGTGGAAGAAGTAAGTTTCTAGCAAAAGATTTGAAATGGGAATCTACTCAAGCATTTCTTGCTGTATTTGATGGGATACTGAATTACAGGATGAATTATATCCTATTTGGGCAGGCTTTTGGTGGTGCTATACAGCATAGGATTGTAAAGATAAAACTCTAATTTCAGGATTATTGGATTGTTCTGGCTGTATTTGTCTTCATAAACCATTAAAACATAATTGTTTTACATAACTGATAATAAAAAAATGAATACTGAGGAAAATCAAAGGTACAAAGAAACAATTCGTCCATGTGAACCTCCATGACCTTTAGACCAGAAGAACTAGATGGTACCCAACTATCACTGTTGAATGCTCTGGATCACAATAGAAGGTCTTGGATAGAGTGGGAGATAAATGTGGACCAAAATTCAGTATCATAAAAAAGATCAGGCTTATTGGTCTGATAGAGATTGATAGAACCCCAGAGACTATGGTCCTTAGATACCCTTCAAACTTGTAATTGAACTCACTCCTGTGGCTCAGCTTTCACCTGAACTATTAATAGACCTATAAAGTGAATAGCAACACCAGGGAGGTACACACTCCCTATAACAACCAACCATATGGGAACCAAAGGGTAGCATTTGCCCAGGAAGGATTTGCTCAGGCAAGAAGGGATAGGAAAGAAGAATGAATGGAAACAGTAAACATCGAGAGAAAGTGGGAAGTATGTGGTTACATTGTGGGGATTGCAGTCAGTGCCACAGAACAAAATGTGTATGAAGTGTTGAATGGAAGACCAGTTTGCTCTGCAAATTTTCGTCAAAACCACAATAAAAAGTTAAAAAGAACAAATACAAATTAAATTATATTTAAAAGATAGCAAAAGTAATTGTTACTCTTTGTCTTATGCATTCATTGCTTTCATAGTATGGATTAAACACACAATATTGGTAGGACAGACAGATGTAGTTAATATCTTGCTTAGATTTTTTTAAAGATTTACCTATTAGGTGACACGCCCCCCCATCCCCCAGTTAATAAACAATTACTTATTAAAGTTCCTAGGTGGGTGCCTCTTACCGATCCCAGCCTCTTCCAGGCCATGAGAGTAACCATGCTAATGAATTTCTGTTGATCATTAACTTTCCTTTTTATTTTGCCATATGTTTATATTACTAAAAAGTATATCACTTAGACTCATTTTGTATGTATTCTGCAGGTTGATTTTTCTGTTTTTCTCAAGATGGTTTTCCTGAGGTTCATCCAAGTTGTTTCATATAGCTGTATTTAAAATCACTGTTTGAATATACCATGATTTATTTATCCATCCACTTTTCTGAGAAGATGGATTGTTTCTAGTTTGCTCTTACATCATTATGTAACTGCCAGATTACATCATTGCATAATTTCCAATCCGCTAAAGATTGTAACACAGCCAAGTTGACATATGACCATAAGCATTACAGCCAGTGTTATCCTCACCTAGCACCTCGGTGCTCATTACTGGCAGAGACGTATGTTGTTAATGCACAAAATAGTCAGATAGTAGATTATTTTTACTATTATAAATGAGAAATGTTGGGTAATGAGATAGTAAGTGAGGAGTAGGTATAATCAGCTAGTAAAATCCCTATGGATTACAACTGGTCTGATCTATAGCTGTTCATGGGGATGACATAGGATCTGGCATTTTGTTCCATTGTGTATGGGGTCTCCATGAATTGGGCCAATTTGATAATAGTTAACAGCAATAACAAAATATATATGTGTGTGTATGTATGTATGTATATATATATGACATAAAATTTGCCATTGTAGCCATGTTTAAGTATACACTGGCATTATTATAAATGAATGTTGAATTTAAGAAACACTTTTTCTGCAACTATGAGATAATCATTTGATGTCTAACTTGTAACCTGTTCTTAATAATGAATTACATTAATTGATTTTCTAATTGTAAACCAGTCTTGTTCTGGGATAGCACAACTTGACCATTATGTGTTAGCCACCTTGAGAATTGCTGAATTCAGTTTGTTCAGAATTTTTGCATATGTATTCATAAATGGTACGGCCTGTGATTTTTCATTTTTATGCTTTTCTTACCAGGTTTTAGTATCATGTTTGTGGAAGCCTAAAATGAAGTAGAGTACTTTCCGTACCTTGGAGATACATTTATATGTTTTAATTAGTACTTAATTCTTCTGTATTTGTTAAAACATGTAGCCAAAAAATGTCTGGGCATAATAATTTCCTTAGAGAAGGAATTGATTCTGCTAATGAATTTATATTCAAGTATACTATTCAAGCACACTCTTTATTTTTAAGGCAGTTTTGGTAAGTTGTATTTCTCTTGGACTCTATATTTTTGGAAATTTTTAAAGCTAGTCCTACTACCTTTTTGATATCATTATCACTTGTAGTTATTTTCTTATTTTTTCATTCCTAATATTCTATTTATGCCTTCTTGCTTTTTTCATGTTCAGTTTTGCCAGGAGCATGGTTATTTCATTAATACTTTCAAAGAATAAACTTTGAGCTTTGTTTATTCCCTCTTCTGTATGTTTTTTCTTGTTTCAATTCTGATTAAGCTGCTTTGTAGAAATTATGACCTATGTTGTTTGTCCTCTGAAATTGATTGAGACTTGCTTTTTGTGGTCATTTTTTTTTATCTACTCTGTATTTGGAAAGACTGTGTGTTCTGCAGTTTTTTGGTACTGTTTTCTGTAGATGTTGATTAGATGTTGATTGTCAGCAGGTTTCAGATATCCTGTGTGCTTAGTGATATTTTTCCGTATGCTTGATCCATCATACAGTACTGAGTAGGGTGTATTCAGATCTCCTCTGTAATGGTGAGTTTTTTCCTTCCTATTTTTCTGTCACTTTTGCTTTTTATATTTTGAGCCTAAGAAATCGGTCTTGTTACTTAAAATAGTTAAGCTTTCCCAGTGAATTGAACTGTTTATGATTGCATGAAGTCTGTTTTGTATGATCCTCATAGAGCCATAAAAGCTTTGTTTTGGATAGCGTTTGTCTGGCATGTTGTTGCTTGCTGTGATTGCACCTCCATTTTTGCAGAATAGAACTGCTCCATAGATTTTTCAAGGCTGTGACCTTTTGAAGTTATATTATCAGGCCTGTCTTCCAAGGTGCCTCTTGGTAGCTTTGAACCACCAACCTTTGAACTAGTCATTGAATTCTTAACCATTTATGCTACCCAGGAAGGAACTTCTTGCCTGGTATAGTTTTCTTTATTCTTTGACTTGAAACTTTTGGGATCCTTGAGCTTTGGGTATCTTTTGTAAGCAGAAGACTATCATGTATGTTGTTCCCAAAATTTTACATGGGCCAAGATTATTCACTGGGAAGAAGACTTTCTTTTTAACAAATAGTGCTTGGACAAATGATACCCTCATGCAAAAGAATGAAATTGAACCCTTAACCTTACACCATATACAAAAATTAACTCCAAATGAATTGAAGGCCAAAATGTAAGAGTTAAAATGATAACACTCTGAGAAGTAAACAAGTATTTATGACCTGGATTTAGCAATAGTTTCTTAGATAAGACTCCAAAAGCACAAATAATTTTTTTAAAAAATTGACTTTATCAAAATTGAGCATATATCTGAGAGAGGTGTACTATTCAGAATATATAAAGAACTCACAAGTCAACAATCAAAAGATAAATAACTCTAGTTAACTGAAAAATAGCTGAAGGACTTGAATAGACAATTTGCCAAAGAAGATATACAGACGGCTGTCAGGCACATTAAAAGATGCTCAACATCTCTAAGGAAATGCAAATCAAACCCACAATGGAATATGTATGGTTCATTCTCACTATGATGGCTATGACCAAAAAAATGAAAATAACAATTATAGGTGAGGATGTGAAGAAATTGGAGCTCTGATACGCTGTTGGCGGGAATATAAGATAGTGCAGCTGCTGTGGAAAACAGAAAACAGCTTGGTGGTTCCACTAAAAATTAAGTTGCGTTTACTGTATGATTTAGCAATCCTCCTTCTTGGTGTATACAAAAGCAAATTAATTAAACAGGTATTCAAACAAAAATGTATGTAGCAGCCTCATTCATAATAGCCAAAGAGTATGAACAACCTAAATGTACATCTGATAATGGATAGATGTGATGTTACCCATGCAATGAGGTTTTATTCATCCATAAAGGCAAATGAAGTGCCAATACATGTTAGAGCATGTATGAACCTTTGAAAACATAAAACAAAAAAAAGTGAAAAATGCCAGACACACAAGACCACATACTTTATGATTCCATTTATACAAAATAGCCAACATTAGCAAATCCACAGGAACCAGGAGGATAAGTGGTGCCAGGGGCCAGGGACAGAGAAATGGGGAGTGACTGCTTAATGGTAGATGGTGTATTTTGGGGCTGAGGATATTGTTCTGGAACTAGATGGTGGTGTTGGTTGTACTACATTATGAAATACTGCATGTTAGTCAGCTGTATATTTTAAATTAGTTGAAGTGGTGAATTTTATGTTATGTGTATTTTACCTCTACATTTTACGTGAGAGAGAACTTTTAAATTAAAGGAATATGTGTCGTGTCTGTGTGTGTGTGTGTATGCACATACACACATATATGTGAATAGGTATAAGCCTAGACTTGATACTATAATTTTTTTCTTTCTACTTTTATTTGCTAAAATAAAATTTTTTAAAGATTTTTCTCCATTTATTGGAAATCTGAGTTATATCTTTTATTTTCTGCTACAATCAAGGTCATGTTAACGTTGTTGGTCATTTTATGCTCCAGTTAAGTTTGATCCTGACCCTTAATTCTCTTTGTTAGAGATTTTTTAAAAATTCTAAATGTCTTAGTCAATTATATTTATCTGCCATTACCTTCACAGTGGTAGACATGCTGATTTGTATTCAGAGTTCTAGTCCTTAAAGACACCAGCCAGACTGCTAGACTATTTTTTAGCCTTTTCTTCTCACTTTCAACATTGCTTTCCCTCTTACACTTTCTGGTGCATAAGCCATTATCTTATTACACCATTCCATTTCTAGGCCATCTGCAGTAGTTGCTGTGGAGAATTCTTGTGTTATTCTTAAAAAGAAATGAAGGAAATAAAGTTGAGTATCTTCTCAGACTTCTGTAGCTTAACCAGTTTTAACATATTTCATTTCTTGCTGGGATTTTAATAGTATTGCATAACTTAAATTACTTAGCTAATTAGCACTATTTTCATGGTACATGTATGCCTTTGGCACTTGGTTGTTCTCAACATCAAAGTCATGATTTTTTGGTAGTAATACATGAGGCCTGAGTAAATAAGGTTCTCTCTATTTGTAGGAGCCTCTCAATAGTGAAGATGATGTGAGTGATGAGGAAGGACAGGAACTCTTTGATACAGAAAATGTTGTTGTATGCCAGTATGATAAGGTAAGTATGTCACCATTAGATTATTAGCATTATTTCTGTTGTAATTTCTTCCCTAAACCATCCCTGCTGTTTTGTTCATATATTTTGGCAGTTGATTGTTGCTGCTCTGATTCACTATAAACAGTGTGAACAAAAGTATTTTAAATAGCTTAGTAAATTAATAGAACAAAGAAAATTGTGTAGCTGTACATTTGTAAAATAAGTTATGAATGAAATTGTGGGGAGAGTAATTTTTTTTTTTTTTTTTTTAATTTACATTATGCAGCTGAACTTGCTAACTTGGATCATTGTAAATAAAGCCATTTGGCATTTGTCATTGGACAGTAATAGCTAACTTAGTGGGAGACTCCTGTTTTCCATTTAGCTTTGACTATCTCCAAGCTAAGTATCCCTGGGTAGTGGTTAATACGCTTGAAGGTTGGAAGTTTGATTTCACCCAGAGGTGCCTAGGCCTTTTTTTCTAGGAAGACGGGGAGCAGCAGGTATAGGAGATAAGTTTTGCTTTGGACATACTAAGTTTGATATGTACTAAAACATTGAAGTCATTCATCTGATGTTGTTATACTTAATGTGTATTTTCTGTGTAGTGCATTTAAACCAGAGCTGTAAGACCACTTAATTTGGTCTGAATTTCTTACTGTTTTAATTTCATTGTACTCTGTCTTGTTTTAAGAAGTCAGGAAAATTTGATAAATGTTAAATGTGTATATAATTGAAGCCAATAATTTTAGAGGAAGTGCATCAGAGTGGTTTTTAATGTGATTTTTTTTCTTTTTTTTTAAATAAAGTCCTAAAAGGCAGAGCTAGGATCAATCAGTAAATGGAAGTTTAGGAGAGACAGATTTCAGTGAGGGATAAAGTAGGAAAAGACTTATAAGAGAGCTGTCCCAGAAAGAAATAATAGGAAATTTTTTGTGTCCCCCTGTCTATAACCATATTCAAGTAGATACTGAACAAACATTTGCTAAAATAAAGCTGTGGAGAATTTTTGCACTGGGAGGAGGTAGTTGTTAGTTGCTGTTGAGTTGACTCTGGCTTATGGTGATTATAGTTAGAAAAGAATGAACATTGCGTAGTCCTGCACCATCTTCATGTTACACTTACATCCATTGTTGCAGCTGTTGTGTCAGTCCACCTTACTGAGGGTTTTCTTCTAAGAATAATTCGTCTGTTCCTTTGACAACCCGCTGTACATTCAAGATTTGCAGATACCACGGTTTCAGTGTATCGGTTCGTTTATCTTTTTTTACTACCCAACTTTTGCATGCATATGAGGTAATGGAAAAGATCATGCTTGAGCCAGACACACCTTAGTCATTAAGGTGACATCTTTAGCTCTTAACACATTAAAGAGTCTTTTGCAGGCGATTTCCCCAGTGCAGTGTATCATTTGATTTCTTGATTGCTGCTTCTGTGAGTATTGATTGTTAATCCAAGTAGAATGAAGTCCTTAACAACTTCAGTTTCTTCTCCACTTATGATGATATTTATTGGTCCAGTTGTGAGGATTTTCGTTTTCTACTTGTTTAGGTATAGTCCATATTGAAAGTAGTCTTTGACCTTCATTAGTAAGTGCTTCAAGTTTCCTTCATTTTTGGTAAGCCAGGTTGTGTCATCTGCATATTGCAGGCTGTTAATGAGTCTTCTTCCAATCCTGATGCCATGTTCTTCATTTAGTCCAGCTTCTCAGATTATTTGTTCGGCATCTAGATTCAATGAATGACGTGAAGGATACAACCCAGCTGTGTACCTTTTCCCTTATTGACCCATGCAGAATCTCCTTGTGCTCTTCAGACTGCTGCTTGTTCTCCATGAGCACAGTTAAGTGTTCTGAAATGCCTGTTCTTTGCAACATGATCCATAATTTATGATCTGCACGGTCAGATGCCTTTGTATAATCAATAAACACAGGTATACATCTTTCTGATATTCTCTACTTTCAGCTAAGACAAAAGCAGTGGTATCTGTCATTCCATATTCTCTTCTGAATCTGGCTTGAACTTCTGGCAGTTAATTCTCTGTCTGTGAATGGCTACAGTTGTTTTTGAATTATCATCAGAATGTTGCCAGCATGTGACATTAATAATATCGTTCAATAATTTCTGCATTCTATTTGTTCTCCTCTTTTTGGAATAGGCCTCAGTGTAGATCTCTTTTAGTCAGTTGGCTAGGTGACTGTCTTCCAGATTTCTTGACATGGATGAGTAAGTGTTTCCAGCATTACATCTGTTAATTGAAGCATCTCAGTTGGTATTCTGTCAGTTCCTGGACACTTGCTTTCTTTCAGTGCCTTCAGTCTATCTTGAATTTCTTCCTTTGGTACCAGCTGTTCTTGTTCATATCCTATATCCTGAAGTGATTGAACATTGGCCAGCTCTTTTAGTACAGTAACTCTGTATTTTCTCCATCTTCTTTTGGAGCTTCTGGCTTTGTTTAACTTTTTTTTTTTTAAGCTGTAGTTCCCATCAGTATTGCACCTCAAGGCTTGAATTTTCTCTTCAGTTCTTCCAGCTTGAGAAATATCTATCATATTTTTCTCTTTTCATTTTCTAACTCCAGGGCTTTGCATATTTCATCATAATACTTTACTTTGTCTTCTTAAGCCACCCTTTGAAAGCACTTGTTCAGCTTTTTCCCTCATCATTTCTTCTGTTTACTTTAGCTATTCTACATTTAACAGCAAGGTCCAGAGTTTCTTCTGATATCATTTTGGTCTTTTCTTTTTTTCCTCTCTTTTTAATGATCTTTCACTTCTTCACGTAGGATGTACTTAATGTCTTCCCCCAGTTCTACCTTTTGGTTGTGTTTAGTGTATCAGATGCGTTCATGAATGGTCTCTAAATTTAGGTATGATTTTATTCAAGGTCATACTTTGGCCCTTGTCACCTTGTTTTGATTTTCTTCAGCTTCAATTTGAACTTGCACATGAGCAATTGATGGTCTGTTCCACCTTTGTCCCCTGGCTTATTCTTAACTGATGACATTGAGCTTCTCCATCATCTCTTTCCATACACAGAGTTGATTTGATTTTTGTGTAGTCTGTCCAGTGAGGCCAGTGTGTAAAATTTTGTCCATTATGTTGTTAAAAAAAAAAAAAAGATGGATCACAAATGGGAGGTTAGACCATGGATTTTTTAGGAGTGAGGTCTCAGAATATGTTTCTACTTAGCAGTTTCTGTATCATTGTACAACACAGCCCAATTTAGTAGAAAGTTTATTAAACTGGAAGTTGAGAATCATCTTTGTCACTTACTGACCTTGGTCAAGTTATTGAATCTTTCTGGAGTTTAATTTCCTTTTTTTGTAAATGAAAGCTTGAATTAGCTTAGCTTTAATTTTGAGGTCTCATTAGACCACAAAAGAGAGAAAATGATCAGGGCCTTCTTTGCAGAAGTGGAGCTTGAACTGAATATTGAATAGAGCAGGGCTTAGTCAAGGAAGGAAAGAGAGGTCCTTTCATTTGACTGAGATTTATAGTCCTCCTTTCTGTCAGATTCATGGAATTGCAAGCAACTGAAAATACAGATGAAGACAAGAATGGAAGTGCCCCAAATCTGGCCAGATTTGGACTTTGACCTTCTCCCTATGGCTTTACTGTGGATGCACATAGTTTTTGAATTCTGCTGTGGAAGTATCTGGACAGTTAGCATTCCTGAAAAATTCTTTGTTAAATGCTTGCTTTGCATAGCACTATAAGTTATTTCAGTACAAGTCAGTCCATAATTGTATATATTTATAAGTAATAAAAGAAATATTATTGAAGATGCCATTAGGAATTTAGCAATGGGGAAGAGTAATTTTAGCTGGTGGGTTTTAGAAAAAGGTTTTTGTAAGAGACAGTACTTTTGAGGTTGGCCTTGAAAACAGGGATTGAATTTGTAAAAATGGGAACAAGGGCTGATACTTTGATTGAATTATAGGTTTTAAGCTTGATACAGTAGGAAATTCAGTTGGAAAGGTGTGTTGTTATTACCAGGTTATATAGAAATAACAATGCTCAAGCAGAAGTGATTGGTTAGAATTGTACTCCTTGCAGTGATGCTTATAAGAGAAATGTTAGAAAGAAAAGACTGAAGGCCTGGAAATCAGGTAGAATGTTGTTGCAATCAATCAAATGGGAAGAAGCCATTAACATGTGGTAATTAGAAGACTATTGGTGGCCTTTGAGAAATCAGTTCCCGGGGAATCCTGAAGACAACTAAAGTGGAATAGAGATAAAATAATTAGAGTTGAAAATTGCTAATAATAGTACTAATACTGTGAGGCCACCATATTAAAAGAGTCAGCAATGTGGAAATTGTTAGCTGGCAGTTACTATGCGGAGAAGAGGAAGATGATGGTTGTAAACCTGATGCCATTGCTGAGGAATGGTAGCAGTATCCTGGTGGTCAGTTAGTAGATAAAAGGTATGAGGAAAGACAGATAAATAAATGGTGTAGACATAAAAGGAATTCTTGAGAAAAGGCAGACAGGGATCTAGAAGCATCCAGAAGAGTAAGGAGCGTTTCTGTTTTAAATGTTTGCCAGCATAAAATTTCCTGTGACAGAGGGCCATGTGTATATGCAGATCCAGTAGACATAAAGTATTTGCCGAGAATTGTCATTAACTAAGTTATTCAATGAACAAAAGTATGAAGAGCCATAAAATAGTATTGATTATAGATAAATTCACTTTTTTTTTAAAAAAAGTATGTTGTTTTTTGTTGCTATTCTCTGTCCTGATTGTATCTTGTACATTCTTTTTAACTTTTTGGTTTATTGTTTATTTAGATACACAGAAGTAAAAACAAATGGAAATTTCATCTCAAGGATGGCATTATGAATCTTAATGGAAGAGATTATATATTTTCCAAAGCCATTGGAGATGCAGAATGGTGAAGAGTTGCTTTTTTTCTTTTATAAATAAAACAAAACAAACTTCTTAAAAAAATTGAAGTGGACAGTTTGAAACTTGGGACATACACCAACCAAAACTTAATTTCTGCATGTCAGAAAAGTGCCGTAGAAGCAAAGCTACTGGAACAAAGATAAACTTTGACAACATAGACACTACTTCTAACTGGCAAGCCATGGAACTGTAGCAGCTGGAATTGTTGGCACGGGGAGGGGCTGGGTTTTGTGTAGGAATATCATAATTTATCACTTTTAAATACAGGTACCTGCCACCGGTAATCAGCATGTAAAGCTTTTGTCTATATTCCTTCTTCCAGCTTGGGTTAAATCAGAGGGTACTTCTTAGAATGAACTGCAAAGGCTTCCCTTTTGATAGGTTGAATGGAAACTGCTTATTGTATGTGGTTATATTTGGTAAACATTGCGTGTAACCTTTTTACAAAAGGGTAAGAATTATGGTGTTGAATTTTAATTCACTTGTACAAGGAAACAATTTAAAGCTCTCAGTAGATCTTCAGTATTTTTACTTGCTATCCTCCCTCAGTAATCCCTGCTCTATGAAACATCTATTCAAGAATTAAGGAAAGTAATCAGCAGCCACATTTAGTTTGGAGACGTTTGACCCAGAAATGGATATTTATTCTAATTAGGTTTTCATATGTATTACATGTAATTTAAAGACTTGGGTCTTGCCTGAGTTGAGTGGAATTAATGTAACAATTTTAATTTCCTCACAGAAAAAATGGTATTTGTTTCTTTTTAGTCTGACACCTTTTAAAGAAGCTCCAGATTGGCTCCTCAGGAATACAGTTTTATTTCACAGAGGTACCAGCTAGCTGAAATTGTAAACAAATAAGTAGATGTAGATTTTTTCTGTTGGGCTGAAAAGTATGCCTATATACATAGATAGATAGATAGATATTTAAATCTATATCTATCTGTTTATATCTATATATATATATCTATATATATATATATCTCTTTAGTCTTAAGTGAAACAATATTCAGATAATATTCTGTGCATTGATTGAAGTATAGGGCAGGTGGTGAGGATCTGGATTTTTATTAAACAGTTTAGTGATTATAATAGTTTCTTCTGTTTACTAGTAAAGAATGGAAAACCTATTACTCTAATTGAACACATTTTTAAAACAACTTTGTAATTTGAGGGAAAATGTTTTGGGATAGAAGGGAATGGGCCACTAAATACAAATTTACCTCTATTTCATTTGGTGGTCCTTCCAGGCCATTGATAATACAGACATGGGCTCCAGTTTGCACATTGGGAAGAACGCAAAGAAATTTGATTTGTATATTAAAAATAGAAATTTAATGTGTATATTAAGAATAGCATAGCTCTGTATTCTGCAAGGCGCTCTAAAGAACAATATGGCACTGCTGTGTTCATTGTGAACTAGCTGCCTGGGAGAACTGCAGGAACACTTGTCTTCACCTCTGTGTTCTTGCAGTTAATTCAGCTGTTTATGGTTTATTTTGGCAAAATTCATATTTTAAGTTGTATATATATCTATTTTTTAGTCTTCCATTTACTTTGCTTTGTGTGTTACCAGAAGTAACACGTAAACACTTTAAAATACAGTGCAAGGAAGAAAACTGTGAGCTATTATATAGTGTATTTTCCTTTTTTTTAACGCAAATCTTTAAACTTCTCAAAAAGCCTAATCAGTTTTTGCCTACTTCCCACCCTGCTTACCAACTTTGTCCCTTTAATTTATGTTCTGAACTGTGTTGTAAATGGTGGGCTCTAGCATGCTGGTAGTTAGGTTTTATTTCGATGCCATAGTGGGAACACGGTTTTTATCTCGACAATATTAGTTTTTTTTTGAGATTTGTTTGTTTGCCCTACTACTGTCACAAAGCACACACAGTTTTTAATTAATAAGACTGGGAGGAGGAGGAAGAGATTAAAAGAGGGGGTGTTATTCAGGTGTCCTTCAGTAAAGTTGCTAAGTGGATTATATTTACCAGTGAAGAAGTCAATGACCTGAACTACCTATAAAAGTTTAGCAGTGCTGCAGTGTTGATTAAATGAAATAGTTTGGCTTTCTAGTAGCTCTTGTGCTACACAAACTTGGATTACTGTATGATATTTAGGACATACCTTGGGCCCTATATGTAGACAAACATTTGTATTGATAGTAACATTGTATACTGGCCTGTTGTATAACTTTTTCCCCCCTCAAACATGAACAACTACTGCTTTCAGAATGACTCACTGTGGTTATTTTGAAGCAGAAAATAACCATTTGTGTTTGCACCTGTGTATTGCATATGAATATGGCATGCTTGGCAAATGATTTCTTTTACCTATGAAAATGCTGAAAGCCAGTCTGAACAATACTGCATACCAAATTGTGCTCTTATATATATTACTGCATTGTATTTCTTTTTAATCAAATAGCATGTTTTTATTTTATTATAGTGGCTTGTTGTAAGAATGTCACTTGCTTATCTTTTATTGTACTTGAATTCTTAATCATGCTTTTAACATTGTATTTAACCAATCATTTCAGTGGGTTTCATAAAAATGTCATTCCTTTGAAAAGGCAAGGGATTCCCACTATCAGAATTTTAAAATGAAGGTAACATGTTTATCCAAAGGGGGATAAATAGTTCAGGCTTGGTATTATGGAAATGATGAGTCAAGTTTTCAAAGTAGGGTATGTTTAGATTTGCACAGATGGTGATGGCATCTTAAACCAAAAACCAAACCCACTGCCATCGAGTCGATTCCGACTCACAGCAACCCTAAAGAACAGAGTGGAACTACCCCATGGGGCTTCCAAGGTTCTAAATCTTTACTGGGGAAGTAGACTGCCACATCTTTCTCCTGTGGAGCAGCTGGTAGGTTCGAGCTGCCGACCTTTTATTAGGCAGCTGAGCGCTTTAACTGCTGGGCCACCAGTGTTCTTTGATGGCATCTTAAAGCAAAACAAAAACAGATTAACATTAATCAACAGTGTGAAGGAAAATTTACAAAAATAACTAGATAAAGTGGAAATGTGTGCCTTTCATTATACGTACTCCAGCTTGGTGGTCATTTGGATAAGCAGACCACTTGAATGCCTGGGAGCACATTTGATTTCTGTTGAGTGCCCGATATGGCTCAAAACAATTCTTTAATGTGCAATTAGTTTCTAGAGTAAAATGCCTGTTATATGGGGGGGGGGTGTCTTTATATTGGGCTTTTGTATTTTTTAAATGCTCACGTTTCTTTCTGTTAATTAAATGCCATCATAATAACACATTTACATTGTTGCCTCTTTAAAATCGAAGCCACCTTGATGTTATTCTAGGAATACATCAAGATTTGAACAATGTGTTTAGTGATTAAACTATGTTCTTGAAGAGCATATTTCTATTGATTTTGGTTTTAGAAAACAAGATCGTAAAAATATAATCGCTTTAATATAAAGATTTTCTTTTGCTAGTGAAAACCAAGGATTTGGTTTTCTTTTTTCCCTGGCTGTTGAGGGGGAGTAAAAAGGGTTATCTCCATCTAAGAGTAATTTTTGGTTATCTCATAGCAGTAATGTCAGCATTGTTTTCAGAGGGGAAATATACCTTGTACAGGAAAACAGACATAATTTCCTCTTGGGACTTCCCTTTATAACTTAACATTTTCTTCCACTTGAGAAAATTCCTTTATTTTCAGATTACTTCATCCTTAACTTTTTGAGCTTTTGTGCAATGTATTGATTTATTGATCTGTCTTTGTGTGTCTTCATTTTGTTTCATATGTCTGTCCCTCTGACATATGAGTTTAAACTCATTGGTTAAAAAAAAGTTGGTCTATGTATTTCCCTCATGGGTTTATGTTAAGTAGTTTGCATTTTAATCCACTCTTAAGCTGTGGGAATTATTCTGAAGTTTATATTCTTTCCTTTGTAAGCCTGCCTTAGTCTATCTTTTGTCATTTTCTGTGGTTTAAGGAAGAACACACCAAACAAATTTCTTTCGTTTGTTTTAAGGAACAAAAGTAACTTTTTTTTTCTTCTCTTAAGAGAAGAATACATTGAGTTAGTAAGTACTCTTATCATCACCTTCCCTTAAATCAGTCCAGTGTGCATCAGGGCTATAATTTCAGGGGAGGGGCTAATCTTACCTTCTGCTGTTCTGAGCTACTATTGTCAACTGCTGTTGTATATACTGTTGTGTGTAAGGGCGTAAATATATTTATTACGTTTGTAAAGTTCCTTCTGCACAATTGCAGATCAAGGTTGCTCTTCTGTGATATACAGGACATTATGTTTTAAAGACCATCCTTGGAATACAATTAGAGAACTTAGTATTTTGATGTACTAAGACCTATTTTAAGTTTAATATTTTACCTTTGCAAAAACTTTAATTAAAGATGTTATTTAAAAAAAAAAAGTAATGTCGCTTGCTTTGCTTACTAGTGTATCACAGTGTTATATAGAGAACTGAATGACAACACTTTAGAGGGAAATGATTTACATTGTTATTGATAATAAATTCTATTATCAAAGTTAAGAATATCATTAAATTCTATACATTTAAGATCAGTAGGGTGGGATGCCTATCTGAAATATTAAACTGTGTTACAAAGTCTTATCGCATGTTAAAACAATAGTATTTTCTAGGGCACACAGTAACTGAAATTGAGCTAAATTTACACCAACAAAGTGTAACTATTAATTGATGTAATTAACATATTGTATTAAATGAATATTTCTACTCCAAAGAATCAGTTACGTAAGATAAAGTTATTATTGTTTTCTTATTTTACTCTTTAGCTAAATCTTTCCCTCTTCTTAGTTCAGAGTTTGTAAATAATTGCATATTAGGGAAATTGGATTATTGAGATTTGTATTAACATTGAATATATTTTGTATTATTTTAGAAGGTACTAAATAAGTAGCAGGTATTTAATTTTATAGTTAATTCCAATGAATCATTAAGAGAAAGCTTGCCTTTTTTGTAATTTTTTACCCTGTTACAGACTACTTTATCTAGGAAACATGCAAATTTTAACTATTAAAACAATCATAATAAAGCTATTTTACTTATTGCCAGCAAATCTTGTATTTTTGTAGTTTAATTCAAGCTCCTACATTGCTGATGATCTTAACCT